CCTGTGCAGCGCCGGGGAAGGCGGGCATGACGCGGGCGGGACCGATGTCGGATCGCGTGGTGAAACCGGTCGCACCTCGACCCAGACCGGCTACATAGTTGAGAGGCGCCGCGCCTGTTTCTCTGTAGCGTTTGCGATTATCGCTCATTTCGTAGCACTACTCTCTGAGAAGATTTTGTGTTTTTCGGCTCGATTCCCACCCTCTGCTTGATGATGATCTTTCGGCTTTTTATGTTTTTAAAACAAAAATCCAGCTGCGCAGAGGCGCCTTTCCCGAGTTACTTTTCTTTTCTTTTTCCTTGCCGAGGTCTGAAATTTATCGTAACTTTCCGATACATTTTTTGGCGTTATATTTTGTCGACAAATATCTGCTAATGACATTTTCCTTTTTTGACCTTCTCCGCATTTGTGACCACACCAGTGTGGACCATGGCCTCTCCGCGATTTATTGACCGGGCCGACAAGGCTAGCCTTGTCTATCATAGCTCAGATGCCTCGACGTAAGTCGTGCCTATCTGCACTGCTTGGGCTGGTCCTTGTGGTAATTGTGTGCACGCCTGGTGCGTGTGTGTTTATCTGTCCCCTCCCCCTCAGGCCCTCGACTCTCCTCTGATAGCGTCGGATCCCCGTGCGCTGTGTTCAGTGCGTGGAGCCCTACGCGTGTGCTCGGATGCAGCTGTGTGCCCGTACCCGAGGGTCATTGACGCACTCCGAGAAGCCACCGATGGTGCCGTCATCGTGGTGAAGGGGGGCCGCTACGCTGAACACCCGCAGTTCCCCCAGGAGGTCCGGGTCACCACCAACAACATCACCCTTCAGTACGTGCTGTTGCTGCGGCATGACTCATTCTGCCTTCTGCTAAGCCATTTATCTGTCACTTCGTCAACCAGAGCGCTGGGTGCAGTTCTCTTGGAGTTGAGCGGCCCGTGGCTTGCCATCGATGCGCCCCATTTCACCATCAAAGGGGCGCTCGAGCTCCGTGGCGGAGGTACCCCACGTCTCCAACGGAACCACCTCAATTCCAACGTCGTCTGTTATGGCAGGAGTTTTGATCTGCGAGGGCGCCACGCTGCACCAGAACGGTGACCTCAGCATCAGCACAACAGAGTTCTTGGCAACCGGGGTCAAGGTGGCGGCTGGCGGCACATGGCTCCAGCTGGGCCGCACCACCATCTCCGCTGGCGCTGCAGACGGCGATTTCTCCTTGAGTACGCTCTCCTCTCCACATTTCGAAACACAAACGAAACAAAACGAAACACAACTCAAACAACAAAACAGCAAACGGTGTACACGTGGAGGCCAACGCGATATGGCAGCAGCTGGGGGAGTTGTCGGTCTACTCGCACGGCGCTATAGGTAGCATACTCTTCCTCTCGGTTCTGATTTTTTTTTCTTTTTCGTCTTTATTATCCAATACTAATCAATCTTACACCTTGCCCCCCCCCCGCTCCTTCTCTCATAAAGGTGTGCTGGTGTCCGGCACATGGGATCAGCTGGGCGAGGCGAAGATGATAGTCCAGGGTGAGGGCGATGCCAAAAGGGGTATATGTGCACCTCCCTTTTTCCACCTCTACTCCCAGAACAGTCTCGCCTTTTTCTGGTGCCCACCAGGCAACTACGGGCTGGTGTTCGGCGAGGGGGTGCGACTCGCGCACGGGGCGTGGAGCCAAAAGGGCGCGCTGCACATCAACGCAATCGACGCCTCAAACGGTTCGTTCCCCGTCACACCACGCAACGCAAGTCATTCTACCAGGCTCAAGCCTAAGCTGACGCTTCGCTTCCTCCCATCGTAGCGATCCACTTATCGGCTGGATCGGTGTGGCTTCAAGATGCCAACGTCGTCCTTGATCTCGACTCTGTTCAAGGTACTACATATAGTTTCCTTTCTTCTTCTGCGCGTCTCCTCCAGCTCCTAACGTGGTGGTGGTGGTGATGGTTTGGTATCAGAGGGCGTGCGGGTTTTGGGCGCGTGGCAACAGAACGGCGACACTACGATCAACTTGGCCTGTCGTCGCTCTTCCTCCTCGGCCTCATCAGGCAGCCAGCGCCAGTCGTGCACGGGTGAGTGCGCCTCTCACGTCATGCCTGGCCCCAGATGTGGTTCAGCCTGGTCCCATTTACGCGCTGACCTGAAATTTGTTCGCGCCAAGGTGTGTTCACGCCTTCGACTTCGAATCGAGGCCAGCTGTGGAATCAGCACGGGGCCATCACGCTCGCACTCTCCGGCCCCAGCGCCACCGGTACTTTTTCTTTTCTCTTTTTTGTTAACCCCCTTTCTTTTATGACTGCAAGGTCTGTGCGTGACACGCACCCTACCACTAGGCATCAACGGCACCAATCTAGAGTGGCACTCGGTCGGCACCAGAGCGTTTGAGACTCGGGACCAAGCCGTACCCATGGGTACGACGCCACTGTGCCCTCCTCCTTGTGCTTTGAGAACCCCCCATCAACTAACGCCAACATGTGGCTCATTTTCCACCACCGCCGCCGCCGCCGCCGCCATCACCACGTCATGATGATGACGCGGCCAGACGCCGATGTGACGGTGCGGGAAACTGACGGCGATGATCATCAGCCTCTTACAGTGGAGATGGCCCTGCGCCACGTCCGGGAGCGAGGTGTCGGCAGCCAAATGCCGGGTGACTGGGTCGGACCGGTGCGCGAGGCGGTGAGCGTGATGCGTACCGCTGCCATCCCACCGAAGGCCGATAGCCCGGGGGCCGCCGCGGCTCTGGAGTTGTTCGCGAGGCTGTACCACAGGGGCCACGCCCTGGAGGCCACCGCGGCGGACGGCACCCTGTACCGCCTGTGCCCCGGCCACATGCCCAGACTCGGCGACGATCCTGATCGACTACGCCACGCGTCCTCCGGAGCGAAGTACCGCATGACCGGCCTCCGCGTTCCAGGCGCGCCCTGCATCCACGCCGACCTCGACGTCGATCACGACAAGGCCTTGTTCAACAGCGGCCTCGTTGACGACGATGGTGGTAATGTGGTGCGCAGTCCGCGGCGCTTCGAGCCGGCCATCAATAGCCGCGGGGAGCGCAGGACGCTACTTCTGCGGGTGGCCTTCTCCGACCAGCCGACAGTGGCCACCGACCTGCCGCGCCTGACCAACATCTACCAGAACCTGCCGCCCTTCCTGCAGCGCGTGAGTAGCGGGCGCACGTCGCTGCCCATCACCTACAACAGCGCCTGCACCTACGTGATCGACCTGACCCTGGCCCAGGTCAACGACTACAACCAGATCGGGCTCGCCCACCTGATGGTCGCGGTCCAGGCCGCCGCCACCACGCTGAACCCGGCCTCGCAGTGCTACATCTCCACCGCAGACTGGGTGGCCTACAAGCACTTCATACTCTCCCTACCGTCGTGCAACCAGCCGTGGCTCGGCGTGGCCGGCATGCCTGGCAACGGCATGGGCCTCAACGGCAACGCCGGGCTGGAATTCCCTACCGTCGCGCACGAGCTGGGCCACAACTTAGGCCTGCCCCATGCCGGCTTGGTCCAGCACGCGGCCGGCGTGAACGTGTTTGAGTACGGTAACCCGTACGACATCCTCGGCAGCGAGGTGCACTACAGCCCGGACCAGTACCCGGGCCTGCCGAGCTACCTGGCCGGGTACCAGGACGCCATGGACTGGATCGTGCACAAGGTCACCTACCCGAGCGACGCCTACGCCGACTCGGCCCAGGGGCCGGCCTGGGTGGCGAACTACGTGCTGTCGCCGATCGAGGCTTCGAATCCCGACACAGTCAAGACGATCCGCATACCAACGGCAGCGGCGACATACAACCACCGCAACAGCTGGCTTTACCTGAACTGGCGCTCGACGTACGCGGGTGCCGTGCGCCAGGGCGCCCTGCTCACCGAGGAGAGCTTCGACATCATGTGGGAGGGCAACTATGGCGACCCCTACCGACTGTCCCAGAGCCGCCTCTTTGACGTGGTGCCCGGCACGATTACGCTGCGTGACGCCGCGCTGTTTCAGTCGACACCGCTGGTCTACGGCCTGGGCGGGCGCGCGCCGGTGCTGATCGAGGTCACAGGCGCGCCCACGGCCGCGGGCCTGCCGATCCGCGTATCGCGCCTGCGGCCCAACGGCGAGCGCATGGAGGGCCGCGGCTGCTCTGTGGCGCTCGTCGGTAGCTGCGAGCCGGCACTCGACGACGTGCCGGTCCAGTCGTGCGGCTCGACGCAGACCTACGCCAACGACCCGGCCGGCCGCTCGGTGGTGATTCGTGTGTCGACAACTACGCTGCAGTCTGTGGTGGTCTCGGTCAGTCCGTGCTCGAGCGAGATCGGCGCATTCCGCACATTCCCCGCGGCGCAGCTCTACTATGGGAGCCCGCCGCGCGTGCGGGCCGACGACGCCGTGACAGACGCGTGCTTGAGCGGGCTCGAGGTCGGGGCCAGCCCCGAGGAGCCGCTGTGGATCGCGGTGCGCACCACCAGCAGCACCGCGACGATCAGCATCACCCTCACCTGCGGCGCCACGGCTGCCAACACGCGGCGTCGGCTGCGGTTCGACCAAAACGACGGCCTCGCCCTGCGCGACGCGTTTGAACGCGTGGCCGACCGGTCCTACGTCAGCCAATGGCACCCTTACGGCTCGGAGTCGCGGCTGTTTTACGAAGCGGCCACCCGGAAGTGGGTCGTGCGACAATACACCATGAGGGACGACAACCAGCTCTACGGCGAGTGGTCTCGCGCGATCATCGACCAGAGCACCGACCCGTCACTGTGGTCCACCGCCAACGCGGTCGTCGTGCCGCGCCTCGTGTGCCCGCGCGGCATGTACGCCACCACCGCCACCGCGAGCCTGTGCGCGGCCTGCCCCGCCTTCACCACCACCGACAGCGCTGGCGCCGTCTCCGTCACCGAGTGCCGCTGCCGCGCCGGCTACGCCCTCGTCCCGGGCGGCGCAGCGGGCAGCCCGTGCCAGCCCTGCCCGGCTGGCACCTACTCGCCGCTCAACCCGACCGAGAGCTGCCAGAGCTGCCCGACGGGCTACACCAGCCCCGAGCGCAGCGAACGGTACACCTACTGCACCCCGGTGGTGCCCTTCTGCTGCCGCCTTTCGATCGTCGGCTTCACCACGCCCTGGTACGGCGACGCGTTCGATGGCATCTGGGAGTGGGACGGCGAGCGCATGGTGGGCATCATGCCCTACTACGTGTTGGCCGGCGGCCCCAACCTGTGCCTGTCGGGCATGGGCTCCAGCCCGCTGCGGTGGGTCTTCCAGCACTGCCTCACGCGAGAGTGGACGCCGGGCACCCTCGCGGGCAACATCACGTTCATTGCGGGGGGCCTGTTGTCGCCCCACACCTGGGCCGCGGGCAACATCATCACGTTCGGCTCATACACGCACTCCTTCAGCCCGTTCGACTCGCAGGTGCCCTGGATTGCCGACCCTAGCGTGCCGGGGCCGGTCTTCACCTGCCTCGACCCGTCACCGCCCCCGGAGGAGTGGTCGGTCTCCACGCGCTCCGTTCCGTCCCCGCTGCCTACACAATTCCCAAGGTCGACACAAACGCCAACGCCGACGCCGACATCGCCGCCGAGTGAGGCGCGGGTGCGAAGGACTCAGGTGGCGTGCGGCACCTTCACGCTGGTCGGGTTCACGACGCCGTGGACCGGCAACGACCTCAGCGGCGACTACGAGTGGGACGGCACCATCGTCGACTGGCAGCCGCGCTACCGCCTCACCACCACCGCCCCCTCGCTCCCGTCGCCCTTCAACACGGACACGTGCCTCATGTCCGGCTGGGCGCCCGAGGTGTGGGCCTGGCGCGCCTGCTCGACCGGCGAGTACCTGATGAACCCGGTCGGCCTCGGCGTACGCACCTACGACGGCGACCCCCCGAACATGTGGACCACCGGACAGTACTTCACCTACGGCGAGGAGGGCGAGCGGACGCTCGACTACCTCTTCCCGTGGTACCAACCGGGCGTGGCGGGGCCGAGCGTGATCAACTGCGTGCCCACGTCGCCTTCGCCCTCGCCCTCACGGGTCACCGCGTCGCCCTCGCCCTCGCGCGTGTCCGCCACCCCGACGCCCTCGCATACGGCCTCGCCCTCGTCGTCGATCGCGCCATCGCCTCCGCCCGCCATCGGCGGTGTGATGATCACCGCCACGCAGGGCGTGCCGGCCGGCTTACCGATGGGCCTCTACACGTGGCGCAGCGACAACGCGGTCGGTACGGTCACGTGGGCGCGCGAGGGGATGCACCTGGTCTGGCACGCGGTGACCCGGTCGTGGGGCTTCACGCGCCGGCCGGACCTGGACGGCACTGAGCGCTGGGCCGTGTCGGATCCGGGCATGTCGTGGCGCCAGGGCGATCCGCTGCCGGAGAGCCTCGACATGCGCCTGTTCGACCCGATGGCCCGCAGCTTCTCGATACCCGTCTCGCTGTCCCTCGTCGCCATGGCCGGCTCCGCCACCGCTTCGCCGTCGCCATCGCCGTCGCCGTCGCCGTCAGCTTCTCTCCAGGTATTGCCCTCATCGTCGGCCTCACCAGCAGAGTCGCCGGCAGCCTCGCCATCGTCGTCTCCGGCTGCTTCTCCAGCGGCCCCCTCCCCGTCGGTGTCGCCTTCCGTATCACCAGCGGCCTTGCCCTCAGCCTCCACGTCGCCTTCCGGATCACCGTCGACCTCGCCTTCGGCTTCCACGTCGCCTTCCGGATCACCGTCGGCTTCAACGTCGCCCTCGGCCTCCACGTCGCCTTCCAGATCACCGTCGGCCTCACCCTCGGCTTCAACGTCGCCTTCCGGATCACCGTCGACCTCGCCTTCGGCTTCCACGTCGCCTTCCGGATCACCGTCGGCTTCAACGTCGCCCTCGGCTTCAACGTCGCCTTCCGGATCACCGTCGACCTCGCCTTCGGCTTCCACGTCACCTTCCGGATCGCCGTCGGCTTCAACGTCGCCCTCGGCCTCCACGTCGCCTTCCGGATCACCGTCGACCTCGCCCTCGGCTTCCACGTCGCCTTCCGGATCACCGTCGGCTTCAACGTCGCCCTCGGCTTCCACGTCGCCTTCCGGACCACCCTCCGTCTCGCCCTCGGCTTCCACGTCGCCTTCCGGATCACCGTCGGCCTCCACGTCGCCTTCCAGATCACCGTCTGCCTCACCGTCAGCTTCAACGTCGCCCTCGGCTGCCACGTCGCCTTCCAGATCACCCTCGGTCTCGGCCTCGGCCTCCACTTCGCCTTCCAGATCACCGTCGGCCTCACCCTCGGCTTCAACGTCGCCATCGGCTTCCACGTCGCCTTCCAGATCACCGTCGGTCTCGTCCTCGGCTTCCACGTCGCCTTCCGGATCACCCTCGGCTTCCACGTCGCCTTCCGGATCACCCCCGGCCTCCACGTCGCCTTCCAGATCACCGTCGGCCTCGCCCTCGCCTTCCGTATCACCAGCGGCCTCCTCCCCATCTGTGTCGCCTTCCAGATCGCCATCGGCTTCCACATCGCCTTCCATACCATCAGCAGCCCCCTCCCCATCGGCTTCCACGTCGCCTTCCAGATCACCCTCTGCCTCTCCGTCGGCTTCCACGTCGTCCGTGCCCGAGGTGGTCCCGGTGCCCAACCTGACCGCCGTGCTCAACACCGAAGAACCGGGCGTCGTGTTCGGCAACGGTGCCCAACTGCTCTCGACCTCCGTGGCGGGCTCCTCCGTGGCCGGGGCCGAGCTGGAGGTGGCCACCACCACCACCACCGCCGCCAACACCACTGTCGGCGGCCTGCCCGCCGTGACCTTCGTCACCACCTTCGAGGGCACCAGCGCGGTGCTGGAGCAGACCACCGTTGTGGCCTCCGACAGCGCCGGCCTGTCGCTCAGCTTCGCGGGCGTGAACTACACAGCGCCGCCCATGGCCTCCAAGTTCAACATCGTGCTGACCAAGTGGCCCGGCAGCGGCACGACTGGCACCTTTGTCTACCGCTACGCGCTGGACACGGCGGCGCCCATCAAGCGCGTGACGCGGGTGGGACCGACCAACAAGGTGATCGACTGGACCATCGAGACCACGAGCCCCATCGTGGTCTCCTTCAGCACCTTCAGCGTCGCCCTGTTCGGGCCGACCCAGCTCGAGCGCACCATCACCGTCACGGCCGAGTTGGACCCCGACGATGCCCGACGGGTGGTGTTCAGCTTCGGCTTCCCCTACTTTGCCGTCGGGCCGCTCACCTACGACTCGACGGTGTTTGTCGGCACCATCAAGAGACCACGGCCGCCGGCGATGGCGATGGCGATGGCGATGGCGATGGCGGGTTGTCGCCGGCGTTGGCGGCGGCAATTGCAGTGCCTGCGGTCTTGGGCGGCCTCGTGGTGGTGAGCCTCGCGGTGGCCCTGATCGTGTGGCAGCGCAAGCGAGTGAGGCCCCAGCCGGTCAGGCCGCGCCGCGGGTCCGCGGCGCTCTACGCTGAGATCACCCTCCAGCACGACAACGCCCTCTTCCATAGCTCGTCCGGGGCGCACGACAGCAAGGCCGAGTCCTACAAGCTCAACCGCAGCAACTGGTCCAATGCCTGATCTGGTTTTATTTGTCATAGGACATCTTTTACTTCTTTTATTGTAAGTCTTCTTTTTTTCTCTCTCTTCTTATTCCCATTCAGCCTGATCTTATCTGCACCTTTTTGACATGCTTGCACACTTCAGAGAGAGGGTAGTGCAATGTAATAAACGCAGGATTGGACACTGGCAGGCTCAAGAGCAAGATGGAGAAGCTTGAGGTGTCGACAAGAAATGAAGCAAATCCGCGGAGCCAGGGAGTTTAATGGTGGCGTGGCAGTCCCTTACTGGTCGACTTTTAATAAGCAAGATTTAAATTAAGGGGTAACACAACCGCCGGTGGTTGTCCTGTCCTGCGCCACCTTTGTGTTCTGCGCACACTGAGATCGATTCACATTGTGTCTGAAGATGGCCGACGAAGGATTGATCAGCAACCTCGATGAGGCGTGGAACATCAACTACGAGGACCTCGACTTTGGCAAGGAGATTGGCAAGGGCGGCTTTGGTTCTGTCTACGAAGGCGAATATTTTGGCACACCCGTCGCCATCAAAAAGTGCGAGCTCCTCCTTTCCCCCACTTCTCCTTCTCCACTTTCCTTCCATCTCTTCTTTCTTCATCTTCCGCTTTTTTTTTGTTCTCCTCCCTTCTCCACTTTTATTCACCTCTTCTTTCCATTCCACTTCGACTGCCCTCACACAGTTCACCACAAAATTAAATTATAGTCAAAAATTTATAGTCAAAAAAGAATCAATTAAAATTAAAATTAAAACAAAAATAGCATTCGTACCACCTGGTGGGCGCAGTGCAACGTCATCATTTTTTATTTTTATTTTCTGTTTTAGTCCCCTTTTTTTGCTCCCCCCCACGTACTTACACACCGCGTGCAGGATTGTGGAAGAGGACCCAGATGGTCTGCTGTACCTGGAGCGCGAGGTGAACGTGCTCAAGGGCATGCGCCATCCCAACATCGTCCAGTTCATCGGTATCGCCGTGGTACGTTGGTTCTCTCTGCCCTCTTCGTTTTTTCATTCGTCGTTTTCGTTTTCGTCTTCGTCTTCGTCTTCGTTTTTTTCTCCATACCTAAAAAACGAAAACGAAAACGAAAACGAGACCAGCCTTCGTTCATTTTCATGTGAGGCCAAAGTAATGTGTGCTGATTGGGATTGTTGGTCGGCTCGTGTACAACCAATCATAGCACGAGGGTGCGCTGTTCATCATCACCGAGTACGTGGACAACGGCAACCTGCGCAAGTTCCTCAAAGACTCGAAGATCGTACGCCACGTCCCCACCCAAGAATTGGTTTTGTTGTTAACTTAACTTTTCCTTTTTCGCTCAACAACAGAGCATGCCTTGGGCCATGCGCGTTAATCTTGCACACGACATCGCTTGCGCCATGGCGTACGTGCCTTCGTTCTTGTTTCTTCGTTCTTCTTCTTTCTTCTTCTTGGTCTCTCTCCCCCGCACAAGCGTGTCTCGGCTCAACTTTCTCTGTTTTTCTTTCTGGACCACCACGCGATCGATCACACAGGTACCTTCACTCGCGCAACGTCATCCACAGAGACTTGAAGAGCAAGAACCTCCTCGTCGGCGACAACTGGCGCCTGAAGATCTGCGACTTCGTACTTCTTTCTTTCTTTCTTTTTGTTTTTGTTTTTCTAATCGTTTTTTATTCATTTTTTTGTTATTGTTATTTATGATATGTATTCTTGTTTTTCTTTTTTTTTCGCCCAGGGCTTTGCGCGGGTGAATGCGTCCAACCGGCCGATGACGCTGTGCGGCACCGACGACTGGATGGCGCCGGAGATGATCATGGGCTTCCAGTACGACAACAAGGTGGACGTGTTCTCCTACGGCATCGTGCTGTGCGAGCTCATCACGCGCGCCAAGATCTCCGACCACCTCCAGCGAAAGCCGCAGGAGGCGTTCGGCCTCAACGTGAGCCAGCTCGAGAAGCTCATTCCCGGCGACTGCCCGCCCGAGTTCGCGCAGGTGGCCATCGGTACGACATCGCTCGCAACACACACACACACAACACACACAACACACACAACACACACGCTCTGACCGCACACGCACACGATCAGATTGCTGTGGATATGAGCCGTCGGCGCGTCCCTCGTTCAAGGACGTCATCAGGCGCCTCAAGCCCATCATGAAGACCCTCCCGCCATGGAACCCCCTCGGCCACGCCCACCGCCGCGCCGCCGGCCCCCTACTCCCCCGTCAGCCCGGCACCCCCACGGCC